TGAGAGTGTGTGTGTGTGGAGTGGGGACGGCGAGAGAGTGTGTGTGTGTGTGTGTGTGTATGTGGATTGGGCAGGGCTAGAGAGAGTGTGTGTGTGTGTGTGTGTGTGTGGATTGGGCAAGGCTAGAGTGTGTGTATGTGTGTGTGTGTGTGTGGATTGGACAAGGCTAGAGTGTGTGTGTGTGGATTGGGCAAGGCTAAAAGGGCGGAACGAAAGTCTCAAAATTCAAATGAATCAAATAGAATCGACTCAGAAGAGACGTGAGTGAATGCACGCGCGTCGCCTGATCCACAAATGCACATTTTAATCGCTACATGCACAAATCATGATACTTTAATACAAACTATAACATTAATCCTGAATTCCACAGACTCAAATTGAAAGGCATTTGTTTGTGGTTAGTGAGATACATGTATAAAATGTATGCAGTACATGGATAATTGTGCGTGCGTCTATTAATCATTTAGAGTCTAATATCATCCCATAAAAACACACCGCTTTGTGTTCCAATGTCAAGCTGTTTTAAGACCGATTCCCTCAATTAACCTGATTTTTTATCATGTGTCCATCATGTTATAAATAACAAAAATAATAATAATCAAGCAGCTGCATTATCAAAAAAACTAATAAACAATTATTGTTATTATTGTGCTTAATATAAAACTATTTTATAAATCGAATACATAAACTGTTTTTGATAGTGCTGTCAAATCGCGATTAATCGCATCCAAATTAAAAGTTTGTTTACATAATATATGTGTGTGTACTGTGTACTAATTATGTATATATAAATACACACATACAGTATATATTTTGAAAATATTAATATAATTTATATTATATATATATATGCATTTAATATATAAGCAAACATAATTTTTCTTAAATATACACATGCATGTATGTGTGTGTATTTATATATACATAATAAATATACACAGTACACACTCACATATATTATGCAAACAAAAACTTTTATTTTGGATGCGATTAATCGAGATTAATTGTTTGGCAGCACTAGTTCTTGCATATTACTATGCATAATTATTTAATATATAATAAACTCTTGAACATA